AATCCATCTCAAACGCCTTATCCTTGACTTCAACCTCAAACTCACTCACCAGCAACGCACACGTATACAGGATAATCCTCTTCGCTAGCAACCTCCCCGGGCACGCGCTGAAACCGCCTCCATACGGTATCCACGCGCCCGCGAGCCCCTTTGCCGAGAAATGCTTTTCCTTGGTGGAGAGTTTAGACCGGATTTCCGTGGCTTCGGGGGTGGAAGGATTCATGGGTCCCGACGAGGGGTCCGCTGGGTCGAGAATGAAGCGGTCGGCCCAGAAGGAAGTAACGGGGTGAGCGCCGTCTTGCTCGTTCCAGAGCGACGTGTTCATGTGTGCGACGTAGGAACTCACCATGCTGACTTCGTTGCGGGGTAGTGTCCAGTCGCCCACAGTGATGCATTCGTGGGCGGAACAGCGCGTGATGTAGGATTGGACGTACAAGCGGAGTGTCTCTGCGTAGACGGATTGTAAGAGGTCTTTTTGGAGGAGCTTGTCCATGGAGGCGGAGAAGCCGGAGGTGGGGGTGTGAGAGACGGAGTCGGAGATGCTGGTGCGAATTCGCGAGAGGAGGGCGGGGTCGGAGAAGATGTGGAAGGCGGTTAGCATGGTGGAAGGCACGACGTTGGTGACGGAGGTCCAGATGAGACCAAGGTCGGTGGAGGCGACGGCGGCGTCGTCTTGGCCTGAGATGCTGAGGAGCATCGACTGGCGCTCGCGGTTCATGATGGAGCCCCAGTAGGGGTCCCATTGGGTGTCTTGGTCGGTGTTGCTGTCGCGGAAGTGCTGGCGTGCGTAGTTGTACCAGTTTTGAATTTGGGACAGGAGACGCTCGCGGACGCGGAAGGCGTTGGGGATTAGGAAGCGGGGAAGGCGTTTGGCGAGGTTGACGACTTGCTCGTCGAATTCCCAGAGGTCGCTGGTGAAGTTTGGGTTGATGGCGAGGAGGGATGGACCGAAGAGGGATTCCAGGACTGCCTTGCCGACATTGTTACGGAAGAAGGCGAAGAGATCAGGTTGCTCGATCCATTCGTCGCCAATGTCTTCGGTGTCGAGGTTTCGTTTGAGGATGGCTTGAAACCGTTCAAATGTTCGTAGCATCGCGTGGCTCGTCAGCCCGCGGAGCAGCGAGTCATGGGTGAGAAAGTCGATGCGGTTGTTGGGCTCAACATTGCTAAATGGATGAGGCTTGCGATATGGTCCCGAGTCATCATCTGTGTAGGCCTCGATGCCTTTCTCGTGCATGCCGAAGATGTAACGCAGTCCCACGGTGTATACGTAGATGGGACTGGAAAGGTTTGGGTTCTTCCACATATCGGCAATGGCTTTGGGTTCGGAGACGAGATAGATGCCATTGATGAGCAGTGAAATACGGACACAGGTCAGCTTGCCGGCGTATGTTCTACGCTTTGAGTCAGCTTTGTTCATGTACAAGATATCGACCAAGACTCACGTTGCCTTCGCCACAAAGGAAGCGCTGTCCCACAAGAACGAAAAAGTGCTTCCTATGATGGGCATTGCAGGATACTCAGGTGGCGTCTGCCCCGGTTTCCTTCGCATATTTGCCCAATGGTACAGTGATAGTGTGAGCAAATAGTTGAAGATGAAGGGAATGGCCAATATGCCGCCTGCGACTAGAGACTGCCGAAGACTGTTTGTCCATGAACTCGGAGTCATGTCTGGGTCGGGTGTTTGAATGACAGTCTCATTCTGTGGGATGTACTGGTTTTGAAAAGGCTCGTACATGGCTTCTTTCAGGCTGGGCCAGAATGAGAGGCTGGTCTGAATCCCTTGAACGACCGTCATCGTGAGTGAATACAGATGACTGTAAATGTGAATGCAAGGGTATACTGAAGTGTCACCAAGCTTGCATGGATGTACATGTCTCTTGCACTGATACCCTGTTATATAGACACTACATAGATATCTGCTGACTCTTTTTTCGTAGACTCCATCAGTCAGCGCATCGATCACATCAACCATATCAACCGGCAATGGCAGTGCTTCATGAGCGTCAAGCTAGAGTCGGCTTACCTCTGGACGCCTAATAGTATACGTATACCCGGGGAATACCATCAGCCTCACATGGGCGCCGAGGAGTCCCGTTTAGGCGATTGGGTTGCGCGGAAGCAGGGGTATGGAGGCAACCATGATAGAAAAGCTGATGTTTTGTCGTTTTGGCCCCAATCGCACCAGCGCTTAGAGCTCTCTCACACTCCACGGCACAGTATGGCAGATTGAGTTTGTACAAGCGTCCTTCTTCGTTGGGCGTTCCGGCAGCTTGCTCCTCCCGCTGTGTGTGCGGGGTGCCGTGCGCCGTGGCTTGTTAGCCAATGTTCCGATCTTTTATGGTGGTGATACATGCGATGAATCCCAATGTCAGCCTTGTGCACCGCACTGCCATTGTGACCCCACAGCTACGTTCTTTTTCCTTGATTTTGCGGCACAGTCTGCATACATTGAATGCGTCGCAGTCATAGGCAATAGTTCGTGCAGCTGTGTTTTTTTGGACCCCCGAAATGCTTCTATACATATACCACGCCAAGTACAAATCGGCTCAACGGCGGTGTTGAGGCATGTGAACATCCCACCTTATCGTCATTTGCCGGCTGCAGGCGCCGCCCGTGCCGTGATACGAGTGCATGACATGCTAATATTGTGGGGTTTTCGGCAAAGATTCTAGAAAGCTGCCTAGTCTAGCTGTACACTTCCCTGTTCCTGCACTCCCATTCGTGGAAGGTGTTGAATATTTTTGGCACATTTTAGTCAATCGCGTCTACAGGTGTTGCCTTGCACAGCAAAATCGAAGCTGCGGATGCGGAGCTGTCGTTCATGTTTTTTCGTAGGTACTCAGAGTAACATCATGATAATCATTAATTCATTCAGTTACAGTACAATTGGAGATCCGGAGATTGAGAAAAACGACTCTTTCATCTTAATCGCCACCGATATCCCCAGGCCGTTTTCTTACCACTGTTAAATTACAGAGAGACACCCAGCCACTGTGGAAGGTGTGGGAGAGTAAGAATCCCAGTTTACACGTCCCTTATCACTACGACTGGCTCTTTGCTAGACGCGGATGAGTGCAGCCGAGCACTACCTTCTTCCTTAATGTAAATAGTAGACTCTGGCGAACTTGCTTGGATTGACTGAATCTCTCCTTGATCGTTGATGAATGTCCGAAGACCAGTCATCTGAGCCCTGGGAACGGTCGGTAAGCCAGAAGGGCCCTTCCCGGTCCCAGACTCAAGTGTATCATCCAACAGCGTGTCTTTCCTCTTTCTGTTGAACTTTGCAGCAAAAGAGGCCGAGAAGAAGCGCTGGGCTTGCTCTTTGGGCGATAACGCTTTGCTGTTTTTCCGTGATACGAAAAAGCTTCGGAAAGCAGTTGCTGCCGCGAGGAAGACACCGACCTGGGCGCTGACGACAGTCCAATACAACTCCCATATGGTATCAACCATGTCATTGTTGATCAGTCCAGCAAGACGAGCGACGGTGGTGGCCATCATAATAACGGTCAAGCAAAGCGAGGATGCCAAAGCAAGCTTTTGCGTCCACTGTACTTTGATCTGCCAGATGATGCAAATGGGTATGGCAAGGACTAGAGAGCATCAGCCATGTGCTGGAAATGCAAGGGACAAACTTACTCATAGCATCACTGACGAGGTCGAGGACCATTTGGGCAGTGGAGTGGTGGACAAGAAGCTTCTTGAACCTGCCAGTGGCACATTGGACTAGCTGGATGTCAGCATAGTAAGGGTTGGAGGATCAGCTTACTCACGTTCTCTTGGGTCGAAATAGTAAGGGCACCCGATGTACCAGATAGCAATGCCATATCCAAGGCAAGCCAAGTTGAAGAGAACCACCACCCACCAGTAATAGTTGAGTACCGGTACCCGGTCAATAAGCTTCTTGAAGAAAAACAAGAAGCTCAACTTGACAGCGACCACAGAGGCCCAAGCTACCATACCACATACGGTGACCCATTTGTGGAAGTGGAATGATATCTGCATCCAGTCTGGAGGAGGTATGACTCCCGGGACGCCAGTCTGCAGAGCAACAATGAGATACATGCGATCCATGACTTCTTTGAACATGACGACAACGCTGCACAAAAGGAGGCTAAAAGCGAGAAGCAGGAAGCCATCATCGACAGAGAAGGATTGCTTCTGCACTCTGAAGCGAATGATGAAGCGTGTGGTGACTGCTACCACACATAGGGCAAGCATCACTGATTGGGATATCTAGCAATCATGTCAACGCAGAACAATTGGATGGACAAACGCCATGCTCACGATTAGGGCCTCTTTGGGCACACGGCCTGCTGCGTCCTCGGGCTTCATAATTGCGTAAAAAGAAGGCGAAAATTGATATGAGTAGGTATGGAGAGGGATGCCTTGTCAGCTTGCACGCTGACAAGACGAAGGAGAGACACCCTAATCCCTATATCATATCACAACCATTCGCATCTCGCAGTGGAAGCACAGTGCCGGAGGTGCGTCGTCAACTCTGCATGTCTTACGGCTTAATCTGCTAGGGCTTACAGGAATAAATCAACTCTATATCCCCCGCACATGGTTCAGCCTCGTCCAAGTGGTCACTTAGTTCCCGACGTAGCATTTCGGCGCCCCAGCCTCAGCACTGCCCGTGCTGCCTTCCGGCGTGCATGAACAGAGAGTCTGTTCTTTTTTGGGGGCCAAGGCATATTACAGGTACGTGGATTTGTAACGGGCGGCTAATCGTGGGGCAATGGGTGAATTGCCCCCACATTTTCGATAGCTTCCAAAGTGGGGGGCGGGTTTGGGGGCCGCATCCCCTGCGATGCACGACAACGATCCACAAGTACCCGCGCCGCCTGCGCCTCATTAACCGAAATTGGTACCAGAGGCAGCAGCAACAGTAACAATAGCAACAATAGCAACGACGATAACGACAATCTATCCAGCCTCGTCCCCCCTTTATCAGAAGACCTTCCGCTTCGCCCTCATTGAGAGGCTATCGAATCGTCATGGATTCCTTCTCATACAGTAGTATCGCATGGCAAATCGCGCTGCCAGCGGCTGTCGCCGCTATTGGCGTATTCACTTTCAAGATGATCAAGAACCGCATGATCTTCTACAGGCTCAAGAAGCAAGGTCTGGTACGCGGCTGCAATAGTCTCTTTGCACGCTTCCTTGCTGACGCTCCCATCTTTAGCCAATGCCTTCATGGGACTTTGGAGCTGGCAGCCTTCAGACACTTCCAGCTTTGCTCGAAAAGTTCCCCAAGGGCTCGCAGCAATCAGATGCCTTTACTCTCCTCTCCTACGAATTCAAGCAGTCGGATGGCTGCTTCTACATCGATCTTTGGCCTTTTTCGAGTCCGCTGATGGTGGTCACTTCTCCCGACCTTGCCATACAGGCTTGTCAAGAATACGACCTTCCTAAGCCACCTATTCTCATTCCCTTCTTCGCGCCATTTGCCGGCGGCCCGAATCTCTTCGATATGAACGGTGCTGAGTGGAAGCGTTCAAGAACTCTCTTCAATCATGGATTCAGTGCCAACGTGATGCTCGAGAGTACGCCCCACATTATCGAAGAGGCCGAGGTATATGTGGCGCTGCTGCGTGAGCACGCGAAAAAGGGCGACACGTTCTCGCTAGACGATCTGACATGCGACTACATGATGGACGTTATTGGTTCGATTACAATGTAAGCACACATGAGATATATCGTACTTTCGTGCAAGCGCTGACCATATCAGCAATGCTCGTCTCCACTCTATGACTCGACACAACGCACTTGCTGCTGCCATGCGGAGCTCCATCCAATGGCATTGTCAAGATGAGGAGCTGAATCCTTTCAAACGCTGGAACCCAATGAGACCTATCATCGAGTGGCGCAACGGCAAGATCATGGACAGTTATGTCGGCAATGAGCTAGATAAGCGATATGAACACTGGAAGTCCAATGAGCCATCCAAGGGGGCCAAGTCTGTCATGGACCTTACCATAGCAGCTTACATGGGCGAACGCAAAGGTGCCGATAAGCTTGATCCCGATTTCAAGAGATGGGCTACTACCCAGATTCGCCTCTTCCTATTCGCGGGACATGACTCCACTGCAGCTACTATTGTGTACAGTCTCTACATGATGTCCAAGCACCCTGAGGTTCTTTCCAAAGTGCGCGAAGAACTAGACCAAGTCTTCGGCAAGGGTACCGACTCAGCTGCTCGAGTCCTCAAAGAACACCCGGAGGAAATCAACAAACTGACCTACACAAATGCAGTGATCAAAGAGACACTGCGCCTCTTCCCTCCTGCATCAGGCATGCGAGGCGGGCTCCCGGGTGTCTTCCTACGTGACAAGAACGGCAACAAGTATCCCACTGAAGGCATCAACATTTGGATTGCCCACGGCGCTGTGCAGCGAAACCCAGACTACTGGCCCGAACCTCACAAGTTCATTCCTGATCGTTGGCTAGTGGAACCCGATCATCCATTGTATCCGCCAAAGGGTGGTTGGCGGCCGTTTGAATACGGCCCGCGTAACTGTATGGGTCAGACTCTGGCTATGCTCGACATCAGGATAACCTTGGCAATGACGGTACGTGAGTTTGACGTGCATGATCAGTATGAGGAATGGGATCGGTTGCATCCGTCTACTGATATCAAGACCGTCTTTGGCGAGAGGGCGTACCAAGTGCCTCAAGGAGCAGCTCACCCAGTCCATGGCTTCCCATGCAAAGTCACAACTAGGAATGTAGAGTAGGACACGTCGATGATGGGATCAAGAACAACAAGGTTGGGCGGGGTTTTGATTCAAAAGGTATAAACACCGACAAGTGTCAGACAGTATCTGATCACGGTGGATGTTCGGTGTATCGGAGTATCAATAGTGTACATATAAAAAGATGTAATCTAATTCACTGTATGTGGTTTTGAAAATGCCATGTAAATCAAGTGTATGCTCGGCTATGAACCCCCACCCGGCTAGCCCCATTTAGTAAATGACAAGTATCCGAGTCGGCTTTATAATTACACAGGTGGAGTACCGCATGCATACATCATCAAAACAACGCCGCTTCGAAATAACAATGTAAACAACATACACCAGAAACCATGTCAAGATCAGCCGTATTACCCATCCTACGGGCTATGCGCCCTAGGCTATCCAAGCCACTTACCAACAGTAAATGCCACTTCTCCACGACACCTCGCCCCCGTATCATGGATACCACAGGCTTCACCTCAACCCAACTCGAAGTACGAGAAGCCATCTCAGCCCTCTGCACCCAATTCCCTGATAGCTACTGGCGGCACCACGATGAAACCTCCACAGACCCTTCCTCCTTCCACGCTGCCCTCGCAAAGGACGGTTGGCTCGGCATCGCCTTACCAGAGAAGTACGGTGGTTCAGGCCTAGGAATCTCAGAAGCAACAATGATGCTTCAAACCATTGCCGAATCCGGCGCAGGTATCGCGGGAGCCCAAGCCATCCACGCAAACGTCTACGCCACACAACCATTAGCTAAATACGGCAACGAAAAGCAACTCTCCGACACCTTGCCCAGAATCATCAACGGCGAATACCGCACCTGCTTCGGCGTCACAGAACCGAATTCAGGGCTCGACACACTGAGCCTGCAGACCTCCGCCCAGAAACAAGAAGACGGAAAATCATACACCATCAACGGCCAAAAAATATGGATCACATGCGCCCAAGTCGCCTCCCGCATGATCCTCCTCGCCCGCACCGCCGCACCCTCCACCAAAAAGCGCAGTGAAGCCCTAAGTCTCTTCTGCATCCCCCTCGACCGGTCCCCAGATTCGGGATTAAGCATGCAGCGCATCAAGAAAATGGGCGGCCGAGCCATCGACGCAAACGAAGTCTTCTTCGACAACTACCGCGTCAGCGCCTCCACCCTCATCGGCTCCGAAGGCCAAGGCTTCCGCATCATCCTCTCAGGCATGAACGCAGAACGCTGTCTTCTCGCGGGCGAAGCCCTTGGCTTAGGCTACGCAGCACTTAGCCGCGCAAGCGCGTACGCGCGGGATCGCCGGGTCTTTGGGCGCGCAATCGGTATGAATCAGGGTGTTGCACATCCGCTGGCTGATGCGTATATGCGGCTTGAGGCGGCGAAGCTGGCGACGTATCATGCGGCGAGGCTGTACGATGCGAGTTTGAGGGATGACGCGATTCGTGCGGATGCCGTAGGGGTCGCGGCGAATAGTGCAAAGTATCTTGCTGCGGAAGCGGCGTTTAATGCGTGTGAGAAGGCGGTGCTGGTGCATGGGGGGATGGGGTATGCGCAGGAGTATGATGTAGAGAGGTATTTGAGGGAGTGTTTTGTGCCGAGGATTGCGCCGGTGAGTAGGGAGATGGTGTTAAATTATATTGGGGAGAAGGTGCTTGGGCTGCCGAGGAGTTATTGATGCGGAATATCACACGAGATATGGTGGGTTGTAGTGTACGTGTGAATTATTGAGTAATGGGGAAGAACGAGAAAAAGACGCCTTTGAATGCTAACTCGTATATTACCATTACCACAGTATGAATGGCGGAATCGTGTCTAATCGTTTACATCAAGAATTTCAAACGTGGGCTTGTTATGGCGTACCGATACAGCCAACCCGTTGCGCCTATACACCAAATTTTGCCATGACCAAAATTGTCTACTCATCAACGCTCTTCTGCTGGAGTCTCTTCTACCCGCTCTTGTATCAAGTCGACCTGCTTGACTGGATGTAGCAACACTGCTGGAAGACACATGCGGCCTTCGTGAGCCAGCTCGTATTCCTCACCACCATCATTATCGACCTTGTATCCCATCCAGCGCTTCCACAGGTTAGGCGCAAAGCCGGCGTGATAGTACCATGTGGTGCCGAGGAAGTTGTGTTGCCTCTCATCAGAAAAGACCGAAAGACGAGCACCTCCTGATGCGCCGTTGCGACCATTATTGAAAATAGCAGCGAGATACTGCGTGGGCCACTTTCGATCAATAAAGACAGGATGAGGCGCGTACACAGCTTTGAGACCGTGATGCAGAGCGCACGAGGCAGGCCACATTTCGCTAAACATGGTATGACGGAAGAGCGACTGTTCACGGTGCATGGTTTCCAGGAGCCTCCTTGACAAGCGTCCAGAGGTGTTGATGGCTGTTCGTCGTGGTGGGCGGCCATTCTTAAGATCATAACCAGTAGTATCGTCGGCCAGGATCCAGTTGGTCTGGTCAGGGTCGAACAGGGGGTTGAATACGATAAGATCTGCAGGCTCGCCTACGCCCCACTCATACTTGTCCTCAGTCATGGTAGTGTTTGGCTTTACCGCAGGGTCAATCTCGATATCTGGGTAATCATCTGGAAGTTCAGGGCCCCAGATTGCTTTCTCGGGCTTGAGCGTCTCCCGACCAGGGACATGGGGGTTCGGTGGGAGATGCTTAGACCATCTGTTTGCCTGGCTATTGGTGCCATGTTCAGTCTGCACACGCACTGTGTGCTTGAAATCCTCCCAGGTCTCATGCACAGTGGGTACGTAGAAACGTCCGTTGCGCTCCCATAACCCTTTGCGGGGCTGGGCGGCTGTCCACTTGGAGACTTGTTCGAAGAGATGATAGTAGTGTCCAGTGTATCGCACGTCCATCTCCCAGTGCCAGAAGTAGTCATATTCAGGGTGCTGGTGGGCAAAGTACGTTACGGGCATAAAAGTAGAGCGATAGGCGCCATGGACAGGCAAACCACGGTAGTTGGTCTCCTCGAGGCCTCCGTAGATTAGACCCATTTGACGTTCTGACCAGAGGGTGCCCATGCCGGCAAATTCAGCAGGCAAAGAGTTCTTGAGAACTTCTTCATAGACCTTTTCGTCGGCCCAAATCTGCTTGTTGTCATCCTTGACGTGGATCAAGAAGTGGACCTCGTATTCGCCTCCCGAGGAAAGACTTAGCTCGGAGATGAGAGCGCGAAGGTACATTAGATCCTCATCATCGTATTGGTAGTCCCACCATGTTCGGAGGAGGACTGCAGTACGCGGAAGAAGAGCCTTGTGCGCTTTCTTTGGCTTCTCGCGGGTTGTGGTGTCAACAGGTGTTTTCTCTTCAGTCTCAGTGTCCCGCTTGCGCATACTCTGGAAACCATGAGGACGAGGGGTGGGCTGCTTCTCGAAGCGGCCCTTGTTCTTTTCCAAGCACCGATTGACAGCGTCAGCCCAGTTGACCTCGCGAAAGTCGACCTCGGAATCAGTCTTCCAAACATCTTCAATTCCTTCCCGGTCACCCTCCATGCCAGCGCCAGTACCGCCCCGCCGCTTGCTGTAACCCAGACCATACGGACCCAACCGGCCAAAGCGCTCAAAACAGATGTCGTTTCTCAGACCCAGTAGTTCATAGCTTCCAATAACATTATCTGGCATGCCTTGGGGAACACCCTTGTATGCTCGCAGTCCCGGTACCTTGATAGTGTCATTGGCATCAACATAACATGTCTCAACCGGTCCGTACTTGTCTACGTAGTTTGAGCCGCTGTATTCTGGGAATGGGTCAAAGGGTATAGAATCAGGAATGTGTGCGCCTTCTGATCTCCGCTCTTTTGCCCCCTCCTTGGGCTCCGCAGCAGGCAGCTCAGGGTCAATATCCTGCTTGGTGGGGTATTCAGGGACATTCTTTTCCCGGCTGACTAGCGACCGGATTCCGCCATGATACCTCTTGAGGAACGGGAAGCTCTCCCATACGTTTGGCGGTGGGGGAGGCTTGTGCAGGCCAAGCTCGGCGTTTCTTATCGATTGCCAACTGCTGCTGAACAGAAACCACATGAACAGAAGCAGTGTGGATGCTATTGCCAACCCAAAGTATCGTGTACAGGCCCGGGGGTTTCTGTAGCTGTATGCGCTTACGGTAGGTCTCGATGGTGCTCTTCGGTGGGATTTGGGTGGTCGCCGGAGTGGCCGTGACTCGATGTTGTTTGGGTTTTGGTCGTATGCGCCTGAGGAGTGCCGCGAAGAAGACGGACTCGATGAGTCGGAAGACATGTAGGCTTCGTAGTCGTCGCTGTCGTTGCTCTTTTCATTGTATCCACCGTCTTCAACATCGCGCTCGGCGGAGGGTGCTTGGTTGTATGACTGGGCTTTCCTCTTGCCCACCGATAAGGGCCGGAAGCCGAGCATCTTGTGTGAATTCTGGTAGGAGTGCGACTATACCATGTGCAGTGTGCAGGCTATTTACGGGTGCGATTGCGTTGCGGGTTGAGAATGAAAATGTCGCTGAGGTACGCAGGGCGCTTGCAGTTGCGTTACCTCTACCGCAGCCAGTAACGTAGTGAAAAACGTCTCAAGCCGTGAAAAAGAAATCGTAAAGTTCGTAGCAATGCGTTGAATTGGAACGCAAAATGTCGGTACACGGTGACGAAGCCCCAGGCCAGGGTACGTACACGTCGGCGGGCGGCAATCTTTCCGCCACACTAAACAACGGGGCGTTGGCGCAACAACCACATCCATGCCCCAAGACCGCCCTAGCATACAGTCGACAGCACTTGACCAACGCATCTCAACAAAGTATCAGTATCTGTTCAGCGAAAGTAAATTGTTTTATTGTTATGTTTTTTTGATACCAAGAGTTGCTAGTGCGCGGCTTTTCAAACAGGACAAGTCAATCAATTGTGCAGCCTTAGTATCCGCTCGTGTAAACCTACATTGCAATGAAGACATGAGTTTTACGGACACTCGTCTTCTATGGAGATATCTGACAGTTGCCTAGTTGATTAAATAGCTTCTGTATTGGATAATCAAGCGCTGTGATATCCATCCCTGATTGCTTCTATGCTATAAAGTATCATTTGCTTCCAAACTACATCGAACGCCTCCTTTCCCATGCCGACGCCCAAACGCCATCTTTCCGTCCAGGACCCGCTCTCCCATTCAATCGCCACTTATTCTCAACCTAGGCAAGAAATGTGTCGATTCGTCGAGCTCCTGACAGTTCACTCATCGGAGCTACTAGCATACTCCCTCTTCTACACTCTCTGTTCGTGCAACGCGGTCAGACACGCTATTACATGTCATTCTTTCTCTCTGCTTCAACTTTCTTCCTCCAAAAAGCAAGATCGTCGACATCAGGTTTATAAATCGGTACAGAATCAAACTCATGGTACGAGGTATCGGTGATTCGGGGATGGCCAGCAAAGCCGAAAAACTCTTGGACGTCGCATTTGAAATTGGGGTCAATGAACATGACAGTGTCGTAACGGGGAGTTGACTGTGAAGCTTGATGGCTGCGTGGCTGATTTCGGATGGTGGTCGCGACGTTTGATCTAGGTCGATTGGGAACAGGAGTAGGAACTGGGCGTGCCCGGGATTTTGAGACATTCTGGCTGGGATAGTTGCGTACAACTCCGCCTACGGAAGGTCTTGGTGACAGAAGTGGACGCGGCACCATGTTCGCGACTGGATGTGGCATAGATGGCCGGTTTGCGTTAAGTGGAGGGGATTGAGAGACTGCAGTTGTCTTACCTTCGGCGCGACATTCCATCTCCAACTCTTTCAGTAAGAATAAAATACCCTGGTGAGCAATCTGGCAAACTCGGTTCTGTATTAAAGGCTCCATCTGGTTGATCAGTGGGGCGGCATTGTCGCCGACTAGGATGGCGGTTTTGATACTCACCAGGAACTTTTTGTATAGTTCCCAGTTAAGGTCAAGCTCTTGTCGGAGGACCGTCAAGAGTGGAACCGCGTTCCTAGGGTCTGGTGCTGGTGAAGGATCTTGTTGGTTGGATAAATTAGACATATGTGCTAAAGACTGTAGTTTTGCTGAGTTGAGAAGAAGAACAAGTAGTAGAATGGCGGTTGGTAAAATGACTGAGGATTGAGTAACATATGGCGCAAGAGGTTATGGAGTGAAAGTGAAGATGAGTCTTATTTGTTGTTGTAATATAAGTGAAAGAGCGGGTGACCGTAGTACGCAACAACCCAGCAAAAGATGGATGGCAGCTGGATGAACTGTAAACACTCACCAAACTAGACGCTTGAGTTCGTCGAATACATACCGGCCCCTCTATACCCAACCCGCAAGACTTTTTCGGCGCTGCAGGAAACTTCAAGAAGCACCCGCATTCCACCTCTTCGCAAAAGGATCATGATCTTGGTCCATCCAACGCACATATTCCGCGCAATCAGCCAATTCCTGTGCAATCGTCTCGCCATAATTCAACGACACAAACGCATACGTAGCATCGATGCCGGCACTGATCCCAGACCCAGTTACAATGTTACCGTCTACCACCCATCGCGCTTCGGGAACCCATTTCACGTCCGGACCCGTGCTCGTTGCCCACGCAAACGCGCGTTTGTTAGTAGTAGCTCTGCGACCATCCAGAATGCCCGCGCGCGCCAAGATAGTCGCCCCAGTACACACGCACAAGACAGCCTTCAAACTGGGATAGATCTGCTTTACGAAATCAATCTCGGTGCTCATATCACCGCGAGTTCCCACTCCCCCAGGTACAATCAGAACGTCAATGGCCTCGGCTGCAGCCCCCTCTTGCAGCTCGAGCTGCTGCGCAAATGTACGGTTCACAATCATGCTCTGCGAGACGTCCGTCTCTGGGTGCGAAAACATGGTGTTGCCAGCTCTTTGATGCGATGTTTCGACCGGATCGGATGTTTTGGCAAGCATGGTTAGTTTCGTGGGGAAACTGTAGAGCATGGCGAGCGAGTTGAAGACGTCGAGTGGGCCGAAGACGTCGAGCGCCTGAAAGCCTGGGAAGAGTAGTACGCCATAGCGAACGGGTTTGGGGTCGTTGACGTCGAAGAATGGTGGTTTGACGGCGGATGCTGTTGCGCCGTTGGCCGGGGGGTTGTGCAACGTGGTGGTCATGGCTTGATAGGTAACAAGGTTGTAGTAGAGGTGCGTAGATCTTTGGTGTCACGATAGCCTTCAGCCGCAGGTAGTACTCAGCCGCATTACGATCTTGTGGGGCAGCAGCTTTCATATAGGTATTACTGTCAGCTTTGCCGAGGCTGTTTTGGTCATTTCTCACAATGATACAGATTGCGGCTGAGAATATTACATGATGAGCTAGCGCTGCTGATTGCTTAGTGTAGTAGTTAGGGCCGCTGCGGATAACGTTTACGACGAGGCTGAGAAAGAGCACATGTCATTGTTCGCCTCGACTCTCCACTCACACCGCACACAAATAAGTGAAGGAAACGAATAATTTCCAGAGAGTGAATCAAATGGGACTAATCCTACACGGAAAATGGATAATCGCACTGTTACCAATACATTCCCTTTTTTGCGCCTGCTGTCCCAACACTGAACCAGACCCTTCGAATACCACGCATTCGATTGGAATACCCTGCTCAGGGATTCCAAAAGGGTCTCAGCAGAGAAACCAATCACACATCTCTTACTCCATATATGAACAGCAATATTTCTATTCAGAGGAGCTGCAAGAGCTGCATCCTCGTCCACCTTTCTCTTCCCACTTCAATCCACACAAATGTCCAAACACAAACACAAAGAAAACATGACAACTACGTCCTCCCCCAACCACTCTCACACCCCCGTATCTCAAACTCTCACACGATCCAACATCCAATCCTGGAAGTACGTCCTGCTTACACTCTCCCCTAAGCCACCTTAGTCCCATAACTGCCACACATAGCTATATCACTCGCCTTCACATCCCACACCCAGTAACCGCCCCGAATCTAACGCTGATACGGTGGAACAGAGACAGCATCCGGGAAGCACGCCAAAACAGCGCGTTTTTGGAAAAATGGCCGTGCATGTATTGCCATGGTGGCATCGATCTAAGTAGCTTGCGCGATCATACGCGGTTTCGGTGCCGGAATAGTAAATGTGTTGGTGTAGGAAAGTTGCAAGTGACGTGTTTTTGGGATGTTAAGGGGTCATAAGCGCTGTTTTTTTGAAAGGGAGTCAAGCGTTGGAAATAGGGCAAAGACTCAAGGTCGTCTTGTATGATATACGGCCTTTGGATCCAAGTTACCTTCCAAGAGTGGATTTAAAAGTCCTACACCGGACTTCTTCATCATCATCATCATCATCATCTATATCTGAACAAGTCACTAACAAAGATAACCTCAGACCACTCTCACCAAACCTTACAACACCTCAACCCTCTCAACCCCCCTCCCCTCATCCAACACAACCCTCACCATCCTCCCCCTCTCCTCAAACAACCCCTTCCGCAACTGTTCCAGGTAAATCTCATAACTAGGCATATACCCATCAATAAACTCCCTAACCCTCTGATCCTCCATCCCCTCGCCCCTCTCCTCAATCAACCTATGCTCCTGCTCCAACCTCCACTTGTACACATTCCCCAAATCCTCGGTATCAATATGAACAAAGTAGTGAAAATGGCTTGGTCCCATAAAAGTATCGCAGTACCGTTTCAGACACTCGTTTACCTCTAATAAATGGGAGACTTGATGTTGGGCGGGGGTATTGACGGCGAGTTTATCTTGGAGGGCGAGTGCGTGTTTTTGTTGGATAAAAGAGGGAGATACGGGTGTGAAACCGAGGCACCAGCCTTCGAAGATGACGACGGCGGGCTTGCGGGTGATGCGTGGCCAGGAGTGTTCTGGGGCGCGGTCGCCTTCGCCGTTGAAGCGGCTTTTGTCAAAGGAGGGGATGGCGAGGTGTTTGTTGCCGTCTGTTGCGCTCCAGTTTTTTAGTTCCTGGAAGAAGGATTGGGCGAGGGCTTCATCGTGGGTCCCGGGTTGGCCCCGCGTACGGTAGAGTTTGTTGGCTGGATCTTGGTTTCGCCGCTCGAGGAGCTCGGTGTGGGTCTTGTAGAAGTCGTCGAGGGAGACGGTGATACTGTATAGTCCGTGGTCTTCGGATAGGAGTTTTACGAGTGTAGATGCCCATGTTGATTTTCCTGAACCCTGGAGACCGGTTATGCCGAGGATGATGGGTGTGTCTGGGGATTCTGCATGTTGCTTTTGGATCCGGGGTAGGAGGGTTTCTAGCGCCTTGCGGATGTTTTGTTCAAGATTGGCCATGGTTGAGCTCGTGACCTTGGGTTTCATCAAGCTATGCTATTCTTTGGTTCACAAAAGTGTCGTTTAACGCTTGTGCACATTCAGATTGCCCATTGGATAGTCCATAGGTGAAGTTATTGGATGAGCCTAGTGTAGGCGCAGCGAAGTCGGCCCGAACAAACCCCGCACGTAGGGAAGTGCTCACCAGCCCATGTACATTCTACATCTGTACGTACTATTACCCTAACATACAGCAACAATGCAAACATCACGCCCCGTCCATAGAAAAGCCAATTTATTCACAAATCCGCCAGAACCCTTCTCTCCCCCCTTTCTCCCCCTCTACCCTCGCCAACAACAAGCCCTTTAATCTCCACACACGCCCCCAAAATCAATAGTCCCTCTCCGCTTCGCAAAAACTAAGCCTCCACCCAAAAAAAAAATGTCCCAACCAACCAACCGAACCAACCTACGAACCGCCCCTTCGCTACCACACAAACAACACACTCTCACCTCCTCAACCCCCCTGGTCCTATAGGCGCCGCAAAAAAATCCACACAAACATCAAACAAATCCGAGACATTTCCCCACCGCAACCTACTGTTTCCGGCAAATATGCGCAAAAAGCGTGGATTGCAGTCGTGATTCCACGGTTCAGATGGGGTGGTCGTTTGATGAGCTTGCGGGTGCACGCGCCTAACCCCACCCCCCTCCTCCGACTTGTTCAAGGGGAGGAGGAGGAGGAGAGATCACACGGTATGTCGATAGTGGGTTGCGCGAGTGCAAGCGCCCCGGACTTTTTTTTTCTTCTCTCGTCCTTCTTGGTGGACGTTTTACGTATAGAAGGGGGAGGGGGGGGGGCGTGACAGATTGACAGTCTTTCTTTCCTTCTACTTCTTCTTCTTCTTGTTGTTGTTGTTGTTCTTCGGTACGTAGAAAAGGCTATTTTTGGCACAAATGGTTCCTCTGTTCAGGGTCTATTTGGTACGAGTCAGACTTGTTATCTGATGTCTCCCCCCTTCGCCTTTCCCTTCTGAATATCGAACTTGCATCAAAACATACAGTAGAGTACACTACACAGGGCTTTTGTTGCATTTCAATCATTCTTCTAAACCAGCATCCCCTCCCTCTTTTTTTCCTTTCCAAAAAAGGGTGTCATCTGGTACAAACAACTCCCCCACCCCCATCTCCTTCCAGTCTCGCGCAACCGTACTAGTTTCCAATAGACTGAGCATGGAGCCTGCAGCAAAAGACGGCGGGCTATCTAAACAACCTGTAGTCTCCTCAACCGTTTTTCCTTATTGCTAGTGTCTTGGTTTACCTTTTCTAGCGCTTCTAGTTCCATCTTGATACGAAGAAGCTTCTTTTTCTTCGCATCCTTGATTCGGTAAAAAAAAATCGTACATCATACGGTCCCTTAGCTCACGTGCTTTATGTGCATATAACAATGTATTAGAGTACGTGTTTGAGCGTATCTCGCGGAGAGAGAGGGAAGCTTTCGGATATGTAGAACACGTGGGGGGCACAGGACAGGACCCCCCACTAAACGTCATGCATGTAGTGGGATAGCATCATTGTTTATATAAGCTTAGTATAGTGGTAGTAGTGATGATGTCGAGATTACTGTATAAAATAATATATCGACACGTCGTGCGCTTATGTGTATCCTTTGTGGGGTAAGATTTTCCACTTGGAATGGCAGGGGGTGAGTCAGGGATGAGGCGAAAAACATGGAGAGTCGGGTTGGCGGGGGGCATGACGCTCGGCACACCAACCTTGTTCTTCATTCTTGATTCTTCTCACGTGCAAACAATGAACGACAAGCCGCGGCTTCACAATACTCTCCGGAGAGAGGAGGTTCACGCTTCAATCCAGACGAAGCAAAGTCTCTGATACTATTGTATATTCGAACCGTATCTATCGTGTATAAAATTGCTCAAGGCGTCTAATGCTCTCTTCAAAAGCATGACGGAAAGGGTATCTTCGCCTCTCTTCCTAATGCTTTTGGTGTCATAACGCCGTTTTAGTCTAAATCGACCTTTTAAAGAATAATTCAAAAACCCTTGCGTCTAGATAACATGAACGCTGAAACACAGTGGATAAAGGAAAGACGTGAAGTGAGTTGAGAGTGGCGAATCTACAACTGGACAGGTGCAGTTGGATGCTGGTGGTGGGGGTGACTAGAGAGTCGAAAGGTGAGTCAACAATGGCGGCATCGACTCGCAGCACTTGCGAGTCGGCGCATGGACCGAGGGAGTCTATTGTTTGACGCGCATTCAAATCTTTGCGTGTCTCAAAATCTGGCTGTCCTGCTGCGCTTGCTGGAGCTTGAGGATCTCTCTCTGCTCCTGGAAGACCTGGCGCGCCCTCTCGAGGACCATCTCGAAACCCTCCTTGCCCTTTGCGGCGTTTTGCTGGAAGCGCTCGACAGTAAACTGCTCGATGCTGTTTTTGATCTTCTGCCAGCCACCACAGAGCGCTGTAATCTCAGCTCTTTGAGTAAATGAGGTTTTGGCGTCGGGCGAGGAAGCAGCAGGTCGGTAGATGCAGGTTTCGCGTACATTGAGCAGGTCGGACCAGGTCATGTTCATGGAGCAGAGGGTGAGCTTCTTCGCGACAGGGTCGACGTATGAGGTTTCATAAACCATGGACGTGTCTTGGCCACCGAGGAGGGACTGTATCCATTTTGGTGTCGACTGTTGGCAAGTGATGAGGCGTTCAGTTCGCAGCTATCGCGTATTAGCCGAATGCTCTCCATGACGATTCCGCACGTGCCCCGCCTCGCGATGGAGAGCCGTGGTGCTTTTAGCACATGAAAAGGAGTCACTTACAATTCCTGTCGCTGGGTCTACTGAGCGGCTGATGGTGTCGACGGCGATGACATGCGGCGTCTTCTCGTTCCAAGGGCCATATTTCCGCCAGTTGCTCGTCGAGACCTCCTCCCACGAGTAGTCAAAGTCAATCGTCTGCTGAAAGTACTTCATCGTGTGGTCGTGTGCCGATGATGAGCTCGGTAGCTCTGTATATATGCGCGCTGGTGTTGGGCGCAAATTGTCGAAATGCGCGAGGTCTGGTGATGTAAAATTGATAAGCCGCGATGGGATTGGTGTGGGCTTTGAAGTGGGTTTATGGTGGGCTGGAGGACGTGAAGGGGTGGAAAAGGTCTGGGAAGCTCGGTAAAGCCAGCCAGCAAGCCGTGCGCGATAAACGATCGACGGGGGGGCGGACGGGATGTGAGCTCAACGTTTTTCACCGCTCGAGCGCTTGACTTGATTGCAGATTGCGCGTTCGCTGGGGGTTTGGTGAGATGCGGTGTGAACAGATGGAGAAATGGTGCGCTGGCAAGCAAAACAAAGACAATATAGTAGTATGATTTGTCCAGAGTTAAAAAAGATGCGACTGGGGTTACCGAGACCCTTCTATCCGCGTAAGTCTCCGGCAGATGGGCAGAATCTTCGCCACCATGCCCATTTGAGCCTATCACATGCAAGCCGCTAGCAATGGGCCGGCTGAGTCGTGTGCCTCTGTGGCCAATCCAGCCCGGCTCTCTCCGGATGACGTCCTGCAGCCAATCACACGCCTGCAGTTGGTCGACGCCGTCGGGAGAGCGCGATGCAGGGCGTGGGGTTCCTGGCGCTTGGAAGGACATGAACAGCCTCATAATTCCCAGTCGGAGTCATCACGCGACAGGCCGTATGCAGCAGGTCCAAAGGCATATACTCACCATCGACGATGGTGTAATCACGACATTTTCGTAATTCTATCTACCATGCTACTCATATATACATGCTTGGTATCATAACTTTTGATATGAAGCGCCAGAACGCCAGACGATGCTATGCAAAGTAGAAGCAACTATCGCTGCTTATCCAAACCCCTCAATCCAGCCCCTCAATGCAACCCCGCATGTCAGCACCTCTTACAACTCCAGTGCCTTCTGTGCCATTGCCAAAGCACCGTCAAACGTCTTGTTGCCTCCGATGAAGCCGGCGGCGTGGACGAAGACGCAGCCAGGGATGCCTGATACTTGGTCCAATTGCTCATCCCGGACGCCCTTCCATGCGTCGGGAAGGTCCTTCCGGTTCTCGAAGCCGCCGTTCTCTTTGCTCACGGCACGAATGCGCCATTTGCCGTCGGGCTTGTCTTCGGGGAAGAGCACATAAAGGACCTGAGGAGCAACACTCTCGGGCTGCGGCGTCTCCTTCTCCAGCGTGTATAGGTGGTCGGCCCAGGGCATGCCTTCAGGAAGCACCAAGATGCGTCCCTGCGCATCGTACTTGAGACGGCTGTCGTAGGCTGACTTGACCTGGTGGCGGGCAGGGAGCCACGACTCGGCGCGGTCAACGAGCTCGTAACGGAACTGCTCGCCAACAAAGCGAGAGGCTGTCATGAAGCGGCTGTCCTCCTCAGCCTGCTTGGCCTCTGGTGTCTTGGTCTCGTCGGAGAGTGGCGACTTGGGCCCATAGTTGTAGCGGTTTACAACACTGGCAATGCTGAAGCCGCGGTCCTCAAACTTCTTCTCGAGCCCCGCCTTCTCAAGGTCCGTGGGGGCAATGACGTTGATGCCATTGTCGTTGGCGTCGAAGGCCTCGATGAAGTCGTTGTAGATTTTCTCATAGAGCAAATCGCGGTCAGGGTCCTGCAGTCCGGTGACAGCAGTGATGATGTCCTTGCCAAAGTGCATGTACACAAGTCCTGCAGAGGACAGCTTGGTCTTGTGGCCGGGGAACACGACGTCGAAGCCGCGCTGGTGGTGGTCGTAGCGCCTGGTGTTGTCGTCGTACTCGCCGCCCACGTCCACAACCGTGTGGCACTCGGCCAGAACAGCAGGGTCACGGGTGCGGACAAGCTGCGAGTCGCGGTACGCAGGGAGGAGCTGCAGCATGGACACGGCGAGGGCTTCGTCGGCGTGGAAGTGGCCATTGTGCGTTCCGATCAAGGGCGCATCCGTCTTGAGTCTCTTGGTGGGGTTTTCGGAAGCCATTGTTCGGGTGTATAGAACGGGGTTGGGTGGTTTTAATGGGCGATATACAGGGCGAGCTTTTCTAGTAGTTTTTGTGGATGTGTGACAGAATTGGTTCAAGCAATTGATGAGCTGTAGTAGTTGCGGGTAGAGACTTTTGGTGGCAGGCATAGGGTGAGATGGGCGGTCCCGCAGCGGGCACAAGCTTGGCACTTTTCTTCTCTCCGGGCACTAGTGGGGTGCCAGGCTGGACCCAGCAAACCCATGTCGGCATCAAAAAAAGCTGTGCGCAACAACAACCACAACAGACACAAGACAGACGTCGGCAGCGAGACTGACCGCCGGCAGCGAGAAAGGAGGCTAGAAGAAAAACACACGGCACCGCCTAAACTCGTGCCGTGCCTTCGTCACACTGGCGTGATTCCAAGATTGCGCACGCGAGCACGCAACAATCCCATCAATACATACACACACCCCATACATACTACAACGCCCAGCGCCTCGTCTGCTCGCTTGCACAGATCCACCTCCGAGTGCCTCGTCCGCTCCCCTGGTTTTCCGGCGAGCGTTGCCTTCTCTTGTCCGTGTGACGGCCAGTCAGCATCAGCCGCCCGCAAAGCTCGAGCACTTAGCGAAATTGACACGTGAAGATAGTCGATAGTCACCATCAGGCCAACCCACCGCCCGCACAACCTCGACCACGCTTGATCCCTTGAGCTTCTCCCCGCGGCCCTGCGCGACCGCTGCGCCGCCAGACTTCATTCCTTGACCGCCGTCGCCCACGTCACCCGCCGGGCTCGTCGCTGCACGAGCTTGGCGACGACGGCATCCGCACATGTGGTCAACAGCAACGAGAGTAGTCTCGTCCACTACCTTTCTCGGCGCCATCATATTCACCATCCCCCTCGCCTTTGACATTGGCGGCCGGACTTGCGGCCTGGCCTTTTCCCTGTCCCTCAGCGCCTACTACTTCCTCTACTCGATCCTCCGCTTAGCTACGCCAAACACCTCTCGCTTCCGCTGGTTCCTGTGCAACGTCGTTGCTTGGGCGCAATGGCTGGCCATACCCACACTGTTGATCTGGAGCCTCAACAAGTTTTCCATCGATGCCAACAATAACTCGGGCTGGGTCGAGCGTACCTTTGGCGGCAAGCGTGCCGACTTTGAGAGTGTGCATGAATGGATATTTGGGGCTGAAGGTCTGCTGGAGAGTTTCTCGATTGGTGCCTGGGACAAGACGCTGAGATACAGCACGCCTGTGTTCCAGGTAGCCGAGGGCTTCTGCAGTCTGTTGGTTATACAGGCTGCAGGGCAGATTACACGATGGGTGGTGAACCGGGAGCGCGGCGACAGCTGGATGGTAAGATTTTTCACAGCATTGTACTGGACGTTGCTAACACTAATGTCTGCAGATTGGTCTCCTCATCACCTCTGCCTCCATCATCTCAACCTCTGTCTACTTTTTGTGGCGTATCACCACGTTTCCCGAGATTAGCAATGTGGATGCTATTTTGATTGGCGTCGCCATTACGACTGCCAGCTACCTTGGTGGCTGGGGTATTGTCAGCGCACGAGGTAACCCGGTTGAATCCTCGCTTTTGGTGAGTTCTGGTCTTTTGATAATGCTGGTCCTTGCTAACTCCCAAAGTTCGCCTATGTCACTCTCTGCATCTACCAAATCTTTACCGACTACCAACCATCTCCAGGCTCCGTGAGTGAATCCAATGTCTCATCCGAGCCTGCTCTGCCTCCACTACCACCGATTATCATGGCTTCGTACACGACTCTCCTTCACGCCCTTGGTTCCCTCCCCACCATTGCCCATACCGGCTTCAACCTCATGGTCGGTGCCATTATGACCATTACGCCCTCGGTCATCATCTCCCTGGCCTACCGCGTATTTGTCATGTACGCCGCAGCTCGCATCATACCCGCCATCCGAGAAAGCGGGGCACGCGCACTATCGCAAGAACCCAGCCTGGACGACGACGACGAAACGTCCAAGATTCTCGGCTTCCTGACGTGGTTCAGCCCCAGCATCATCATCGCCGTCTACACGAGTCTACTCATGCAGCACTTTGCCAGTGGAAATGGTAGCGATGGCAGTGCGGTGACGGGCGAGTGGTGGACGAATCAGGGCGGTGATGCAGGTGGCAACTTTTGGCGATGGATCAATCTCGGCATTACCATGGGTCTTTATGCGATTGAGCTGAAGATTTCGAATGCGGATGATGATGGGAGGTTAACGAGTCACTGGAAGGTTGACTAAATGGGGTATATGAGGCGGGGGAGGGAGGATGGGAGAGGGATAGATAGGGGGAACTGAGTTAAGTTCAGACGACGACGAGGGGCAAGCTGCGCGAATGGTGTTAAAAGGAGGAAGTGAGGGGCATGCTAGAGAGAGAGCATGAAGAAGTTCACCTTGGTTGGAGAAGTGACACATGGCGTGTGTATGAGCAATAGCTGGGTCATTTTGGAGGGCGAGATCGGGAGAGAGCAAGGAAAAGAAGAAGAAGAAGCTGATTCACCTCTTCTTTCTTTGACCTGTGGTTGCTGGTGGCGGTGGATTATTATTTTTTCCTGGGCCGTTTTCGTTTTTTTTCATCTTCTTCATCATCATCATCATTTTTCCTTTCTTCTTTTTTTTCATTTCTTTCTTCCATGTACTACACTACCTTTTAGCGCGGCATTTTTTCAGATACCCCAAAATTTGGATCGTAGTTGGGAAATCCCGTTCCTTTTATTTTTCTTTTCTCTTTTGTATTATCTGGCTCCTTTCATCCCTCTCTTGTTTGAATTTTGTAGGGGAGGGGCGATGGGCATGGTTGATGGTGTTTGCTCGAGTGGTGTGTGGTTTTTTTTGTATAGTAACTTGGAAGAGAGGACCTAAGGAAGAAGGAGGGAGGGATAAAGAATAGGGTGTGTAGGTGGGCATGCATTTCGGTGTTTTCTTTTACTTGCATTAGAAAGATGAGCGGGAGGGGAGGGGGGGGAGGGGGAATGGGTTAATCGCATCATCTTCTTCATCTTCTCTTTCTTGCCCTTGTTCCGTATTTCTTACCGCATATCAACCGTGCAATGTCGAAGAAAATCACGTATCCTTTTCATCGTCATCTCTATCATCCCACCAAACACTCCCCTCTCTCTCTTGTCGTTTCTTTATCCCCCCCGCGCAATCCCCCTCGCACTCGTACGAACCACCCCTAAGGATCTCCACTCTGCCCTACCCTTGCATCCCTGTCTCTCCTAACCACCCCCCTGTCACTCGCGACTCACACTCCTCCCATCGGGCAAATATCGGCGGGCAATTCCCTTTTCCCTTCTACTACGGTCATAGCCGCGTATCCACTTTTATCTTTTGGTGGTAATGTCTCCAACGGTTAGCGGGTAGGTTAGGGTGATGAAGGAGAAGGGGGAAAGGTTACTCCAATTTTTGTTTGGTTGATGATGGCGCGCTTGGGGGAGAGAGTGGACCTCCAAGTTGCGTCGCTGCGCGTGTGCGAGGTGTGGTGAGGGGAGGGTGCAGGGATAGGGAGCGAGGTGGGGATTTGGAAGCGGGGATGGTGAGGGGGGATGTGAAGGGTGTTGGGGGAGTGAGATAATGCTGTATGGGAGAGAGAGAGAGGGGATTAAGTTTTACAACTTTCGTTATCAGATCATCTTCAAAGCATGAGTGTCGGGGAGTCTCACGAATCGTGATGTTATGGGGGATTTTTTTGGAGTAGTTCTTTTCCCCGGGGACTGGCGCATGAACGTTATGTGTGTGTGGAGAGATGGAACGATTGTTAAGCGCCGGGGCGTGTGGCGAATTATGATTAGATGCTTCTTTGCGTCCATGGGGTATGTGTGCATGTGTGCTGGAGGGTTACATGGAAGGGTAGGTAGGTGGGATGGGTAGGGCGCGTAGGTGAAACGGTGTGTGGGGTGATGTTTGGAAGTGCTACGTAGGTAGACGACGTATGATGGGGAGATGAGAGAGACGTGATAAATAGGTGGGCTTGTTGATGGGGTCTGTTGCGAGGATGCAGATGAGCTTGTACATTGGCTTGAAGGGGATGTGTTTTGGTCAAGGGTCGGAGTATACGTAGAAGCTGTCTCACGTTGTGTTTATGGAAGGAGCATTGTTTACACCAGCTCCTGCTGTTTCGACAACGACATGTTCGTACTGTCTATTTGGAGAAGGACCCACTTTTGTGTAGTTTCAACATGGTAAGAAGCCAAGGGCATACTTCGGCCTTATGCATATGCACCTCATTTTACCACGTACTTTGCAGTATCTCGTTGCGTATCGGTGCATTTATACTTGCCAATTCTTCCACCACAACCATGAAATTGACTTTTTTTTAGAAATCTATTAATGGATGGAAAGCTGCTAATGTGTTCTTGATATCATCTGTCATGGTTGAAAGAGGCAATCCTCCCTACACCGCCAGAGTAAGTTCAAAGGATTTTGAGTTTTCGCCACAGCAATGACGGCCATTTCGTCTAAGTATGGTGTGCAGTGCGGACCAGGGGAGCATTGGGCAAGTCGATGTAAGTGAGATGTGAGAGTTGTACACATGTCATCTTGACGGTTCTGGGCAAGCAGTTGATTGTGTGTGCAAGTGAGAGCGTGTGATGTTGGGCAGCGGTCGAATCGAGTCTAGTATGCTGCACGGCATGTGGACCATGTCTGGATAATGCCGCAATATTTTGCCGAGGGCGAATCCTACAGAGTGATTATCGGTGACGGCAGATGTGCAAACCTGCTCGTAATCTTGATGGTGGTGGTGGTGGGCAGCGGCGGTATATGGAAGAAAAGTCGGCTCACGGGTAGTGGGAGCTGTTGGCCAGAGCTTCACTTTTTGTGCTAATGGGTGGTTGGTGGCCGTGCGCCGAAGGAGGGTTCAAGGCGGGCCGAAGAGGGTTGAAGGGCGAACCTTTGTGTTTAGAGTAGGAGTAAGCATGTAGATGGGATATGCATGTATGCCGAATGGGTGGCGCATGACATGTTTGGAAGGGTGGATGCATCATCTTGGACACGGAAGAAGATGCTCCATAAGCGATTGGGGGGTCGGCTTTGGCTGGGACGGCATGTGGCGGCGTAGGGCGACAAGCGCGTGTGGGTTCCGCGCTTCCGTTCGCTACTCGAGTCAGACGGCAGAGCGGAAGGATGAGACGGAAAGGCAAGAGAGCAAGGCGAGGAGCAGGCAAGGAGCTGACTGAGCATCCAAGCCAAGGGGTGAGCCTGTTTGGGAATCCGGCGCATTGGAATTCAAGCTGCACAGCAAAGGAGACGATGCCGTGCGGCGCAGTCCCCGTTGTTTGTCTGATCGCTAGCGGGAACGGAACGCGCCGCGAGAACCACGGCGACGGAGTGGTGGGTTTTTTTCTGTGGTGCAGTGCAGGGCATACGCGGTGGGTGGCAATGGGAGACGATGCATATGTACAAGTACCTACTACATGGTGATACACATTCTCTCGAGACACGGCGACGTGCCCGACAAACGGCCGCGCTTAACGACGAGGCTTTTGGCTAGCCGTGGCATGGAGAGGCGGCGCGCGCTGGTCTGTGATTGGGCAGGAGCTACAGTCGCTCAGCATACCATGTGTGTGCAACCCCAAGCGGACTGGCGCAGGCTAGCCGAGGCAAAAGAACAGGCCTCTGGCGCGCTGGGCGCTGGGCCATGACTGCTCCAACCTTTTTTGTTTTTTGCCCGTCTGGCGCGCGGGTTCCTGGAGGGCAGCAGAGTTTGCAGCAGAGGCGCCCGCGGGTGAGCGAGGCCGACGGTCAAGGCGAGGGGGGAGGTGGAAATAACAAAAGTATATACTTGGCACGAGACGGGCCGGACAGCCAACCATGCGGCGTAGGGCAGGAATGGCAGCGGCGGTATGTATGGATATGGGTTTGGTATGAGGCACACGCACGCTCGACGGAGCTTTGTGGTAGCACATATGGCGCAGAGTGGACGGGCGTAGCGGTCGAGGGCGTGGAGCTCATAAATGAAACACGGCGAGACCCATTGGGCGCCTTCTTGTTTGGTGCTGGGCTCTTTGGGCTGGCTCAGGGCAGGCGGTTAGCAGGAGGCTGTGCTGTGCCATGTGTGCCATGCCGTGATGGAAGCGCGCGGGATGCTGGGCGATACGCAGGCACCGATCTGATGACGACGCAGCCGGGCCTGGTGATTTGCAGGCGGGCAGGCGGGCAGGCAGGGCGTTGGCCGGTGGCGGCGGCGGCGGGCAAGCAGGAGGACAGCAGCAGCAGGCCGAGTATGTAGCAGCCCAGCAAGGCCCCTCAGCCAACAGCCAACAGCCAACAGCCCGCAGCCAACACGCCCAAGTGCCAATGCCGTGTATGTACTACTGACATGCACACATCCAGCCCATGCATGCCTCTACACACTACTTACATACACACACGTCTTTGCGGGCGTTGGCCGCGGCTATGCGGTATTGTCGCGCGTTTGAGCCCGCCCCACCCATCCACACCAATCACAGCCTGCCTGGGCGGTGCGGTGGGCCCTGCCCGGCGCCTAGCCGCTTTGGTCGATGATCCATCTGTGCCACCCTTGCGGCCTCTCCACCAGCTCTACCCTCCTCTACACCCACGAAACGGCTGTAGGGCTGTAGACGCGACTTTTCCGCCAAAAAAACGTGGTAGAGACCACAATGCAGGGTCTATATTCCCCAGATATCGCGAAAACCGCGTCTCGGGACCCTCTGTGCGCTTCTTGCTGCTCTCTTCCTCGCCGTCCGGGTGGGCAGATAAACGCGGGGAACAGGGGCGTCTGCACGTCGGGCCAATGGCAAGGGCCCGACCGGGGGGAAGCGCCTTCCATCCTGGCCGGACCACCAGCACAAGGAGCGAACAGCCGCCTTCTGTTGCAAGCCTGTCTGCCTGCCTGCCTGCCTGCCTGCTGCTGCTAGGCCTGTTGCTCATCCGCTGGCAGCAGCCCTCCCACATCCGCCCAGCGCCAGCGCCTTATACTCACTCTTGGTCCCGCCATGGAAAAGGCGCACCAGCTCCCGTGGCTCTGCTAGCTAGCTCCATCCAAAGGAGCCGCTCTCCATCCAAACCTGCCACATCCCTCCCGCCCTCTGGACCATCATCACTACTGCTCCCGCCCGCACAACTGCCACTACTTGACATCCCCCCTCCCCGCCATCACACCTGCCACTATCACGGGCACGTCCCGCCACCATTCCATCCATCCATCCACCCATCCATCGCCATCGCCTGCTCAACTCCCCCCCTCTCTCTCGACTACCCATCCCGCCAACTGACCAGCACGACCAAGAAAACCATCTCTCCGTCTCATTGTCCATCCACCAGCCGCCTGCATTGTGCACCACGATACACACTGCCCGCCAGCACAGCGGTCGTGCCGTGGTGGCTCGCCTCTCTGCGTCCCCATCACAGTGGTCTTTTTTCCAACCGTCTCGAAACTTGATCAAGTCCCTTCGGCCAAATTTGATATTGCGCCTCGGACATGTCGACCGTGCTGCATATGCCTGCCTTTAACACCGCTCCCCATGGGCCTGCCTTTACATCGGTGAATGGTCCCTCATCTGTGAGCCCCACCGACGAACAAAAACCACCAATTGTTGCCAAATCTTCCACCTGGAGTCCAGCCTCGCGGGGCCAAGAGAACAGCTACCACTCTCCCAGAAGTGACACCAGCCCCTCCACTGTCAGCAGCAGAGACAGGTCCCCCGAAAGCGTCAACAAACGCAGGCGGTCTGCCTCGGAAGAAGACAATATCGTTCGCCGGAGTCCGGGCGAGTTGGTCCCCGGTTCACGCCAACTGCCACACCCTTTCCACCCCATGAGCCGCGAGACGCTCACCACCATGGACGCACCCCCGCAGCAGAGTCTTCCGCCACTAGGTCGTCCCGATGCCGAGCGACGCTGGCAGACGGAGCCCCGTGAGCTACCTCACACCGGCCACCAGCACTTTGACCACCGGGATCCACGTCCTGCTGACCCCGTCCGCCCCAGCATCTCGTCAGACTCGCATGCTCGCATGGGCAGCGCAGGCGAAGCTGAGCTCGATGACACGAGCGCCACTGAAGTCACCCGCGCTGGTGTTCAAGTCGAGCTGAAGAAGCGAAAAAGGGTAAGCAAATTCGGCCCCCATTTCTTAGGCACCAGCTGACTGTCTGTAGCAATTTGCCAATCGCACCAAAACTGGCTGTGGCACTTGCAGGAGGCGAAAGAAGAAGTGTGATGAAGCAAAACCAGAGTGTTAGTCTCAACCATTTTCTACCAATTGCCCCCCCTGACATCAACCTAACCTTACTCAACAGGCAACAACTGCACTCGAGGTGGCTTTGTCTGTGAGGGCTATGCCAACAAGGTCCCATGGACAAAGAATGGGCCTGCAAAAGCCCCACCTGCTCTGCAAGCAAAGGAAAGGCTATCTGCCATACCAACTTGTCCAGGTTGTAGTCGACCTCACATCCCACACTGCGCGCCTCACTCCACTGAAGCCGCTTATCCACCACCAGACATTCGCTCAGCAAACGGCCAGGACCGCAAACCATGGAACAACTGGCCCGAGCCGACACCACCGCCACCGCCGCCAGTTCGAGCACCTTACCCACCAGAGGGTCCTCCATCAGGCCCTGTGCAGTATGGACAACCTCCACCGAGCCAGCACGAGAGACACCTAAGTCATGAAAATCAAGCTCCGCCTCCACTACAACAGCCACTTCATCAACACAGCTCTCGTGTTTACCACCACACTCCTCACACCATGAGCCATATCCCTACCAGCAGTCCTGCTCCCGCACCTGCGCCCGCACCTGCACCTGTCCTGTAAGTAGTCATCGCTTTCTAGCTCTGCGACCGGTTTGTTCGTTGGCACGCCTGCACCACTTGGTTGTGTTTTTCAACATGCATCATAAATATCGGAATGTTTGCTGACAAACATATAGAGCTTCCAAGGCTGTCGTACAACCACCGCAGCAACATCATGTGGCCCACCAGCATTCTCGTCCCCCTCCGCCATTGTCCACTAATATACCTCCTGCACAGTCACCAGTACGCTTTCCACCAGCTTCCTCGATGCTGTACAAATCCGAAAAAGACAAGATGCTTGCAGGGGAACCCTTTCTCCCCTTTGATAGGATCCTAATGGACGAACGTCACCAATGCATGGGAGCTCAGCAAAATTTCAACAACACAGCTTATGCCACGAACCAATTCTCAAAGCAGACAAGGGAAGGTCTCTTCAAGACTATCCTGGCAGCTAGATGGATTCCACCCCGGAAAGACGCCAACGATGTTATTAGCCATTTGGGCAGCAATGTCTTTGTTGCCGCGCCATTTACCTGTGATTACGGATACCACCTGAACATTGCCGAGAATGTTGTCATTGGTTCCGATTGCCATCTTCACGACTCTGCGAGGATCTGTATTGGAAGAAATACCAAGATAGGCGCCAGAGTCACAATACAAACGCTTAAGACGCCGACCGACAACAAGTCGCTCAAGGGCAGCAACGGAACAGAGATTGCGCAGGAGGTGCACATTGGCGAAAATGTCTACATTGGCGACAACTGCGTCATCGAGGCAGGGGTCAAGATTGGTGAAAACACAATTGTGCGCCCAGGCTCGGTAGTCTCTCACGTATGTCAAAACCCACGATGATTTGCAGTATAGACACTGACTTTTGACAGACGCTTCCCCCCAACTGCGTGGCTCAGGGCAACCCTGCCAATATCCTTCCTAATTGACTCTGATTGATCAGAGAACGAATCTGAGAGACTCGGCTGCCTGTCAAGCAACCGACTTCGTACTGTAAAGACGCTGAACGCTTTCGGCGCATTTCACGAATGACTTTAATGTCACATTACGCACCACCATGTGGGGGTGCCTGGAGTTATTGGCGTTTCACAAACCGGAGGATACCCATTGCTACGCGTTCTTGTGTTTTTTTGTGGGTTTTAGGATACGAGGCGAGTTTATGGTACATAGTATACGTAAGGAAACGGGCGGTATCTGACTTGTGACGTCTCGTATTGTATCTTGGTACCAAGCCTGCTGGACAGGGCATTGCTCAAAAACGCACCAAAAATATACTCATCTCCTCAATTGCTCCAAACAGACGTGTACGTATGACGATGCATGACTCGTACCAGCCACTCGGCTACAAAGACGGAATGCAGTGGTTTAGCGTATTGTCGGGAGGCTGAACGCTGCTTCACGTGCGTAACATGATCCGTGCGCCCAATTCTGAGAGAGGGCCCGCGCGGGTTTGCAAAATGCCCGCGGGCGAACATCATCAATCGCAGTGCCACACCACCAGCGAAGGCATTGCGGCCAACACACCCACAACAATGCCACCCAAGATACCTCTAAACTGGGGACTCCCACCGCCACCTCAATTCCTCATTCCTTCGACAACAACAGCGCGATGTCTCCTCCACCAAACACCTCCCACATCCTCCTCTCCACTCGCATACACCTCAATCCGCACCATCAAATCCACCTTTTCCCCAAAACCCGACCGCTTCGCACACCACCCCTCCAAACCCGCCTTAAACAGCACTTCCACGGCCGCCCTCGACCGCAAAGCCCACAGCACCCCGCTTCGCACGGGCTTACTCGCCATAAAAAAGGGCATGACATCGCTCTACGACACCGAAACCGGGAAACGCACCGCTTGCACCGTCCTCCAATTCGACCGCAACCAAGTCGTGGCGCATAAGCGACGGGATGTGCATGGGTACTGGGCTGTGCAGATTGGGGCGGGTCAGAAGGAAGCTAGGAATGTGACAAGGCCTATGCTGGGCCATTTTGCGGGCGCGGGCGTGGCGCCGAAGAGGTGGGTTGCGGAGTTTAAAGTCAAGGGGGAGGAGGGGTTGCAGGTGGGTGTTGGGGAGTGTGTGGGTGCGGGGTGGTTTAGGGAGGGGCAGTGGGTGGATGTCAAGGGGGTGGGGAGGGGGATGGGGTTTGCGGGTGTAAGTTTTTTTCTTCTTCTTATCTTATATCGGGAGGGTTTTTTTTTTGGGGGGGGGGCTAGGTAGAACGAGCATGAGGCGAGGGGTGATGTTGGGTACGTTTGCAAGGAAGAAGAGGGCTAACACGGGGAATTTAGGGTATGAAACGACATGGCTTTAGCGGTCAACCTGCTTCCCATGGTCAATCGCTCATGCATCGTGGTATGGGATCTGCGGGTGGATCGCAAGGTTCGGGTTCTCGTGTGCTGCCTGGCAAGCGTATGCCAGGAAATATGGGGAATGAGAGTGTTACGGTCAAGAATTTGAGGGTGTTGCAGGTGGATGAGGCGAATGGGGTTGTTGTTGTTACTGGTATGTTCTTTCCCCTCCATTGTCTTTTTTTTTATCTTAAGAGGGGAGTTTTGGGGGGATGATAGGAGATGTTTAAGTTGATTTACTAACTAACGATATTACAGGTTGTGTACCTGGTCCTAAGAACCAAATCATCCGTGTTCAAGATGCCCTCGGTAAACCATGGCCAGAGGGTCCCATGACCACTGCTGAACTTAAGCCTCAGGAGGTCCTGGCCGCGGCGGCTGATGTTGCTGCTGCTAGTGCTGAGGCTACTGAGGCTACCACTACTGCTTAGATGTATGAGTATGTCGAATAAGAGGAAGGCATTGTATCATATTATGCGATTGAGGCGTTGGAAAATGTATCTTGTCTGGGCGAAATCAGCGTGCATATGTGTGTGTGGAGGAGAATCGATGTAGAAAAGGTGTACATGATACCGTAAGACTAAGAGAAACATGAACATGATCGAATTCGTATTCAGCCATCGTATAAGAAGAAAGTTTCATAACTCATTATGCTCATCGCTAAATCAAAACCAAAACCATGCAAAACAGAATAAAAAAAGTTCAAAAAATAATCATCATCGTCATCTATATCCCCACTCCACCCTCCCAATACCGTCTTCCCCCCGTCGTCTCGCCCCTATTCCCAACACCCCAGCCTTTACTATAACTATGCTCTTCTTCTTCTTCATCTTCTTCCTTCACTCGCTCACGTGCACTATACATCTTCCCCCTCGCATATCTCCCTCTCCTACCATCGACACAATCATCATCATCATCATCACTAGAAACATAATCACTTCCCTCTCCCACCCCATTATCATCACTGTACACCGCTCTCGGTTCGTACTTGTCGTCGTCTGAAAAGTGGCGTCTCGCATGATCTTCTTCGTCGTCGTCACTGGGAAGGTAATCGCTTCCCTCACCAATCCCATTGTCGGAGCTGTAGGATGAACGGCGGTGTGTGGTAGTCACTGCACGGCTGAAGGAAGGCGGGGAACGGTGTCGAGGAGGAGAGGGAGAAGGGGAAACGTAAGATGGGGCAGTGAATGGGGCACGAGAGCGTGAGCGAGAACGGGAGATGTAGGAAGGGGTTGTGGATGGGGGGCGGGAAAGGTAGGAGCGCGTGGTTGATGGGTCGCGACCTAGAGAATCCACATCAGAGTAATGTGCAGTATCTCGAGTAAGCATTTTGTAGCTTGGACGACGCTCGTAGCGGTCGAGTCGGCTTTGGCGGGGGGGTTGGCTGAAGCCCGTGGCGCGTTCAGGAGACGATGCGTATGTATCGTCTTTGTACCGGTGGGAGCTGCGGTACCAAGCTACGGATGCGTCACTGGCGGCTTCGAGTCGCTTGCTCTTTGCGTTGCTGCTGTTTCGACGCGAGGAAATGTATGTTGCAGGGCGTTCCCTGGATACACTGCTGTGGCGTGAGCGCAGGCTCCGGGCATCGTCGCGGTCCTCGTCGCTTGAGTAGGCGCCGATGGGGCGAGCGGTGTGCTTGATGTCGAGGGCGCGGAAGCGCTCGAGAAATTGCCTTGCTTCGTGGAAATTGTCGAGTTCATGCGGCTTGAGGGGCTTGACGCGGCTGCGACTACGGCTGCGGCTACGGGTCCGGGCCCGCGCTGTGTCGTGCTTGCGGTCCCAGTTGCTGCTGGTCAGGTCGGAGTCGCGATGGTGATGGTGCCACGGTGGATCATTGTCGTAGTCTTTGGGAGCAGCACGGCGTCGACGCGGTGGACTCTCTTGATCATAGGATTTAGGGGCAGAGCGTTGGGGCGGTGAGCTATCGTCGGGTCGATATTGGGTGTATCCACTGTTGTACTCTGGTGTTTCGTAGTCGTCGTCGTCGTCCACAAAGGCGCCGGGCATACGACTCGCCGGCGTAGCAATATAATCATCTTCTGTCCGGACGGACTGTGCAATACAATCCGAACTAGGGGACGGGGTCTGGTACCGCGCGGGCCATTGTTGGCGGCGACGCGGGGGAGTTGTGTAATATGATGGCTTGTTATTAGTCCCTCGTTCCCGGGGGCTGTACGGCGAAGTCATCGGAGAGGGCCTTTCATGATACCGTGCAGGACTTGGGGTCGGTTCCGGATCCTGCGAGTTGATGTAGTCGTCCGAGTCCGAGTACACTGGCTCGGAGATGTAGTCTGACGACCAAGTTGCAGCAGGGCGTTGGAGGGGTCGAGATGATTGGCTGGGGTAGCGGTGTGGTGCGTTGTACTGCTTGGCCTGCGTTCTACCATGATGCTGGCTGCTGCCATATGTTCGGTGGGCCATCCAGGATGCGTGTGAGCTGCACGCTGGCTGCACAGTTCCAGCTACAATGACGTTCTCCTGGGTTGGTGGGTAAGGACCGGCGTGGAGATAGTGCTGGGTTCAGGGTTGGTCGGACCCGGTCGGGTGTGTTGTTTGGCAACCGACAGGGCCTTTGCCGACACGTGGTCAGGGCTCAGCCGAAGGCGTACCACTAGTCCCGCCTTTCTGGTCCAGGCCACTCTCTATTGGAACAACCTCCTTCTCCCTCCTTGGTTGCCATCTACCCACTGCCGCATCGCCAAGAAGTGCATATTGCACGAGATTCGACATTAAGTACTCGAAGAGAATTCGGACCTTTTGGCTCTCCCATGAATCTATACACGACTGACCTTCTCCTGCCAGGCAACACTAGCGACCAGAGCACTATCGAGTGGACAGACGACACACAAGCCACTACTATATCCACCAGGTTCAATTCAACAAAAGCCCCGGCCTGTACACATGGTCAAATATACTTGGTGCATGTATCTCAACACGTGATCTTCCACTGATCAATGCTGTTTCACGTCCCATATGGCATCATGTTTGATCATTCCACCTATCGGAAAGGACGGTTCCAAATAAATCCGCATCTTGTGTGCCTCCAAGAATCCTACGTCTTGAACTGATCAGCCTCGTCATCTCAACCCTGATAGGGCTAATATACCTGTTCCTAACTAGACTCGCCCAGGAATGGCCATGTGGGGTCAACACCAGCCGCCCCTCATGCTGACATGAAACACCAACATCCGCTCGCCTCCTAATCCTGTTCCGTGCCAAGCCACGAATGCATAAACATACCCAACGCCTGTCTGCATCCGTTTCGCGGCAATCACAATGCCCGCAGCTCGTCAATCTTGCACTGCTCGCAACGCCCTTGCCTCCATGGATCCTCCCAATCGAATCATGTATCCTTGACTCCAGAATACTGGTAGAATATTCCTCCGGAGCGCAAGGCGCGACTCATGAGTCTGATACGTACCCCTACCCGGTGATGAACGGGTCCTCAGGACCCAGTATTCACACCTAGGGAATGTTTCTCAGATTGGCCTGTGGGGCTTGCTTCGAAACAGCCTCCTCCGAAGCCCGTCTATTATAAAGATGGGACTGGATCTGCCACCATGGAAAACCATCACAATAGCATTGTCTTTCACACTCTCTCTACTTTTTTCATCTGCACATTCTTTTTTTTCTAAGCAAACTGTGTTTGCTATCCACTCTCTCTAGTTTTTGCATCAACAAGAATTGAACTATGAAGTACTCTCTCTTTGCCGCTGTTGCGGCAGCTCTCGCTACCGTTGTCAGCGCTGCCGATGGCGTCAAGGGTGCTGCTGAGGGTTTCGCCAAGGGTTCGTCAACTTTTGCATTGTTTCCAGAATGTAGACTCATACGTGAACAGGTGTTACTGGTGGTGGCAGCGCCGCCCCTGTCTACCCCAAGACCAACGCTGAGCTCGTTAGCTACCTCGGTGATAGCCAGGCTCGTACGATTGTCCTCACTAAGACTTTCGACTTCACTGGCAGTGAGGGCAAGGCCACCTCTGCTGGTTGCCGTCCCTGGGGAACTGGCTCCGCGTGCCAGATCGCCATCAACAAGGACGGATGGTGTGACAACTACCAGAAGACCGCGCCCAAGGTCCCCAGCATCACCTATGACAAGGCTGGTGTCATTGGCATCACCGTTGGCTCCAACAAGTCTCTTGTCGGCCAGGGCAACAAGGGTGTCATCAAAGGAAAGGGTATCCGTATGGCCAACGGCGTCAAGAACATCATCATCCAGAACGTTCGTTTCACCGAGATCAACCCTCAGTACGTCTGGGGTGGTGATGCTATCACCGTCGACGGTGGTAAGTTGCAATCTGTATTCAAACTCGCACCCAGTATCTAACAAAGAGTGATTATAGCCGACATGATCTGGATCGACCACTGTACCACCGATCTCATTGCCCGCCAGCACATTGTCCTCGGTGAGCATGCTTCCGGCCGTGTCACCATCTCCAACAACGAGATCAACGGTGCCACCGCCTGGTCCGCTACTTGCGACGGCCACCACTACTGGGGAATATACCTCACTGGCAGCAACGACATGGTCACTCTCAAGGGCAACTACATCCACCACACCTCTGGGCGCTCGCCAAAGGTTGCCGGTAACACTCTCCTCCACGCCGTCGGCAACTACTTCTATGCCAACTCTGGCCACGCTTTCGAGGCCGACGCTGGTGCCAAGACCCTCGCTGAGGGCAACGCCTTCCAGAACGTCAAGGCCGCATCCCAGACTGGTCTTGCCGGCAAGGTCTTTGCTTCCGGTGGTGCCGCTTGCAAGAGCGGTCTTGGCCGCAACTGCGAGGCCAACGTTTACGGTGCTTCCGCTACCATGGCTGGCTCTGACACCAGCGTCATTGCTGGATTCTCTGGAAAGAACATTGCTGCTGCCGTCTCCGGTGCCAACGCTAAGAATGTTGTTAACACTGCTGGTTACGGAAGGATCTAAATTGTTCCTTTTACCCCCTCGAATTAGGAGTGGATATGTGTGGATACGTTGTGAAGGTGGCTGCGAAGTACTGCCATAGACTCTATTCTTCTGTAAATAACTTTTTTTTTAAAACTATCGCTTTAAGCGATTGGTAAATACATTATATTCGTTGAACAAAAACAGAATCCTGGGTCATTTTCTTGCTTGTTTCACTTGGTGATGCCATAGCCCTGTTGTTCTCGATTGTTTACTTGAAACAAATGTACACGGGTACCTTACAGCAAAAGGCTGCCCGTGCTGGAATCCGCCTAGTAACAGGGGGGGGGTAAGTGGGTAACACCGGCAAAAGTGGTAATTGATGGATTATATAATGAAAATCGACAAAACACATACTCGTGTGCATAAATGCATTATTTTGCATAACCTAATTTTTCTTTCCTATTGCATTCTTACTTAGGCTCCCTATCCTCACCAGTTTTATTATCTGGATTACGTGGGACACACACGCCCTGCCCCTAGTTCACTGTATAAATTACTCAGCCCAGTATACCACGCTCACTCTCATCCCTGCTGCACCCTTTAAATCCAACAAACCGGCTATACTTGCACTCTGTTTTCTTTCCCCGCCATCCCTTGTCCCTCCACCCCCTCTACTTTACTCTTTCAAACCCCCTCCCCCAAAATTAGCCACATCAGGGTAATTCCAAGTAGTTTTAATATTCCGACATCTATAGTTCGTTACAGGCTTTTTAAAATTAGACTTGTGTATTATTGTTATACACACGGGCCACGGGCTTTGTTTGGGGCCAACCGGACGGACGGGTACGGTCCGTTTAGGGGTTTGTTTGCGATAGAATGTTTGCATCTTTGTGTAGTAAGCGGGGGTGGAAATAGAGAGGATATTGGAGGAATGAGGTTTTTCCGTGGATATATTAAGAGGGAAGGGGTTTTGAGGGGGGAAAGAGTGGTATTGGGATCTGCGGGGTGAGGAGGAATGGTTGTGTGTATTGATCAAAGTAGTTTGGGGATGGCAGTATGGTATTTTTTGATTGGCAGGGTAGTTAGGAATCCAATAGCTTTCTTCGGGTTGGGGGTGGAAAAGACTGTGAGACTGCCGGTTATGCGATTGGGGTGGTGATGCGAGGATGCGCTTTGCGCAGTTGATTTTATTTGATATACTAAACCGAGTAACTGCTGAGTTTTGTCTCCAGGATATCACTCTACCGCCCCTATGCCTCTTCAAGGCGACAGCAAGCCTTCTATAGATAAGAGAGGTGAAGGAATTGATATGCAAATGGACTAGATATTGCCTGTGGATCGAGGTGCTTCGCGCTTCCAGATCTTGAGTCTGTGCACTTTCTGCTTACTGTGTCGAGTGAGCGGATAACGCCCGGTGGCAATTCTGCGTAATCTCTGAGAAAAGAGACATTTGCAAATTTGGATCCAGTGTGTCTGTGCTGATGGCTTTTGGTCCACCGCTGCGGCATTTGTGCGGTGCCCGCTCGATTCAGTTGAGATGTGTTTAGTGTCAGGAGAGCGCTGGGAAATGATCGAATGATCAGTTCTATAGAAGCATTGATCGTCTGGCCAGAGCTTTTGCCTGTATCGATGAAGAAGAGCCGGTTGGTAGATGGAAAAACTCCAGATGAGATGACGGGGTGCATTCTGGATTTCGGGAGGTAAATCTAGAACATCTGAATCACGGAAATAACCTGGTAATGATAATTAGATTCCTCAAGGAGAAAGAGCTGATAAGACATATATGAAAAGAAGATCCGTTTCCTGTATGTGAGCTGCTTGCGTAGTGAGAAACTAACATATCGAGCAATCCGCCTCTTACACCAACGATGCAATCCAAAGAAGACGATACCAATGAACAGGCTCATTCATGTTGCACCTCAAAAAAAAATATTCCAATAAAATGGATAGAGGAGAAGAGCAACTTACTGCCTTTAGGCAAAGATGAACTGGCATTAAACTTCCCATTTATCTCTAAACTATTATAAGCTTACTTCGCTTATATTGCTGCTTTGTACCCCTGAGGGCAGACTTGCTAACAATCAAATCAATCAATCTGAAGAGCCAGACTGATCTTGATTGAAGGATTAGCTCCACGCTTTTGATTTGATTGATTTGGACGCTGATATTTTGATTTTTGATTGAGGTTTTGATTGAGTTGATTCGTTTTTGATCTATTATT